ACACACACACACACACACACACACAGAAGAACAAAACCTCTGGAGGCTAATGTTAGACTGTCACATTCGTGCTTTAAATGATAGTACTTTGTCTGGAATCACACCCATTCCAGTGGTAATGCCTCCCTTTGGGACAACCTGACCCCGCTCCCTGAGGAGGCCTGCTTGAGGAAAGTCAGTGATTTCTCTTCTCGGGAATTGTCTCTCTCCCTCGCTCTGAGACTTGTCTCCAAACGAAAGGAATCCAACCGAGTATCTCTCTAGCCACTACCTAAGTGATTTCTAGTAAAATACACCAGTCCTTCCCACTGAAACATCCCTCTAGGACACTAAATGGAAACAGAACATGGCCGCTACCACAGAGTGGGGCTGTAGGAACTGTTAGCTTCGAGCTCACTGTTATTCTTATTACGTATGGTGAACGCAGCCAGTTCCACGAAACATCATTCAGTCTCAGCTCTTCCCACCCCACCGAGCATTTCTGCTGTGGAAATAGACCTCCATCTAGTGCCCGTTGCCCATGTAGAATGGGCTCAATTACTGCTGTGAAGAATATTCTTCATCCTGTGTACCCAGTTACTCAGAGGCTTTGCTCTGTGGTACATGAGCAATCGCTCAACTGAGTCTGCCTCTTGGACAGGCCTCAGCTGTTCCCATGACGGTGTCTTCCTTAGAGTCCAGCCTGCACATTCTCATGGGGGCAGCTTTCCTACTCCGGAAGGACTCACTCATAGGACAGTCACACATCCCTTGCAGCCCACCTCATCTCTCTGAAAAGCTTCCATCCTTGCTGCAGGTCTGACTTGCTCCCCCAAGATTTCTTTCGTAGATTCTAACTTTGCAGAGTTGGAAAGACTACTTAAATCTTCACTTCACTGCTGCTTGGGTCTGTGACTTTGATTATTGTTAATCAAGATAAGGACACTGGGGGTACCTAGACCGCTACCTGGCTCTGAGCGTGTGTTCAATGAAGAGTAGTTCAGTCTTTTAATACGTCCCTTGAGGCTCTCTTCCCCATGGAAATATTAACGATAGGAACCTCTGTGGAGCTCCTCCCACATGCAGTACCATGCAGAGGGCTCTAGGGATGCCATTGCACTCGGTTCTCATAGTAACTATTTATGAATAAGAAAATGAGGGCTGAAGAATTTATCCAAACCCAACAACCAGTCAGGTCCTGTTGCTGTGCCCTGATGCTAAACCCTCTGGCACTCCTATATTTGGTTCAGGAAGAAAATACCCAGAGAGACTAAAGTGACCAAATACCCAGAGAGAATAAAATGACCCTTTTTCCTAATCTTTTCCAGCTTATGAACTTCAAGAATGCCCAGACCCAGAGCCCTTTGCCAATGGCATAGTGAGAGGAGCCGGCTATAACGTTGGACAATCAGTGACCTTTGAGTGCCTTCCAGGTTATCAACTGACTGGACACCCGGTCCTCACATGTCTACATGGCACCAACCGAAATTGGGACCACCCCCTGCCCAGGTGTGAAGGTATGTCCCTCCCCTGCCCTGGTGGTCCTTTATGGAGTAGTCATAGAGAGAGCTCTAGAGCATTCTACTCCACCTTTCTACTGTGTGGGATTGCCAAGGGTTGAGGTCCAGGCAAACCTATTTCTGTGCAGATGTGACTCAGCCTAGCCAGGGAGAGAGCTAGCCCGTGTGATAGGGCTCTGGGAAAGCACTAGGAAGGACCTGGAGGAGGTGTAGGCTGTAGCCAAGAGAATGCCATATCCAATCCTTGTGCTTCAACCTGATGGGCTAGATGTCTGCAAGTGGGTGGGTACCACATGAGAATGTAGGATCCTACTGGTGTGCTGAGAGGTAGACAGGTAGGTCAGTCATAGAACTTTCCCAAGGGGAAGCCTTTTCCTAAGAACTTTTTGGCTCCCTTATTTACCTGCCCTAGTATTTTTTCTCACTTTCATGTATCTGGTGAGTGGTGAGTGCTGAGTTGGTAATCTCAGAGAGCGAGAAGTGGAATATTCTTGGGTCTTCTTCCTTATGTAGAATCAGAATGAAGGTGGCTGAGAGGTTATGTGGCCTCCTTTCCCCACTGGGGCACCTCATGTCCACTTTCCTTTCTTACTCTGACAGCCTAGCATCTTCCTGGAGGAGATGCTGGAATTAGTCTTGAAATGGGAAGGCTTGGCAGGGGCACTAACCCAGCTGGCTGTCAGTCCCATTTCTACACCATGTCACCTCTCTGAGCTTCGTTTTCCTCCTTAGTAAAATAGGGCATTTCAGGAGAGCTAGAATGCTCCACACAGGTGGCTCCCCCAGAGGCTATGAATGCACAGAATTAGCTTTCCATGGGACTGGGGCAATGGCTCAAGGGTCAAGTGCTTACTGTACAAACAAGAATCTGAGTTCAGTTTTCTAGCACCCCTGTAAAACACGTAAAAGCCAGACATGGCAACACATTTCTGTAACCCCAACACTGGTAGAATAGAGACAGGAAGATCCTGGGAACTGACTGGCCAGCCAGTATTGTGGAAATGGAAGGCTCTAGTTCAGTGAGAGATTCTGCCTCAAAGTAAATAGATGAAGAGAGGGATGGAGGGTGGGTGGGTGAAAGAAAGCACTTGTCACATAAGCCTGATGACCTGAGTTCAATTCTTAGATGCCAATGTGAAAGGAGAAAGGAGAGAACGGACTTCTGAAAGTTGTCCTCTGATCTCTATGACCTCCACATGTGCACTACAAGCATGCATGTGCTCCTGAGCACTACCTCCAGTCAACCTCTGTCACACACACACACACACACACACACACACACACACACACGCACACACAGTTCCAAAACTCTTAGCCCCTAATCCATTTTTCAGAACTATCCATTATGTGGGGATCATTGTGGGATTTCCAGCTGATCATGTGATATGGGCTACATATCAAGGGGACTTTGTTCCCTTGATTCCCTCGGACTCCGCTGTGGCAAGGGCAGTTTTTGGTCAGTCCACTGTTTGAGCCAGATGCTCTTCCCACTCCTGAGGAAGTGGCTTCCTGGGTCTCCTCAGCACCATTTCTCTTCTTTTCCAACTACCTGTCTGCTGGGACCAGCTTTGGAGTCATCTCTTCTGTCTGCTGCTTTCTGAAGTTCTGCATGTGACTGTCTTTTCTCTTACCCATTTGCATGTCCCCAAATGCCATCTTCATCTGCACCCTTTGTCTCCTTACCAAGAGCCACAGCTGTGTATCCAATTGCTCCTTGCGTAGTTGCACTATTTCAGAGGCATCTAAGTTCCAACACATTCAAAATTGAACCTATCGACTTTCCACCATTAAGCTGACATCACCATCTAGTGATGGGCATGCCTAATGCCCTTGCTACTCAGCCCCCTCCAGCTCTGCCTGAATACCGCCCATCATCCAGCACCCCGTGTTTTCTTGCCTCTGCTTCTCCACTCATGCCTTTCCTTCCTTTACCACATTCCTCTCTCTCATCCTGCCTATTTCATCCCAATCATCCCTCAGGCCTGAGTCCGGGTGTGATTCTACAAGGAGCCCTCCTCTGCTTTCATGAGTCCAGATGTCCATGGTCACCACAATGATGATGTGCTCTGTCCTGGGCTATAGACAGCCTTGGCTACATCCCAGTCAGCTCTGTATGCCATGGGAAAGCACCTGAGAACCCTGCTCCCCACTGCCTCCCAGGCTCACCTGGCACCCAGTGGATAGTCACCATATGTGGAGAGATGCTTGTTCCCGGGTACTACTTTCAGGGCATATGTGCATTACAGGAAACTTGTCCTCTGCATGGGGGCAGTTGGGATCCTCTTCCTTCAGTCTGATCTGCCCCCATCCAGATGTCTGTCTGATGCCCCACATCTGCCCAAAGCACTCACTGTTCTGAACCAGGATGGAGATTTTGCCTGGCATCACTGCTCACTTTCCTGCCTGGTGACTGAGTCTGAATCCTACAGAGGCTTCAAGCCTCTTCATCCTCTGCCTGAAGTCCAGATCACAGTGAGTGTAAAATGGGATGTTGGTTCTGAGGAACAGGAAGATGAGAGAGGAGAGGATTATTTAGCTAAGCAGTGAAAACACCCTCTCTGGGCAAGATACTGGGTCAAACATTTTGTTTGATTGATTAATGTGCTGATGTGCCAGGATTCAAACCTAGGGCCTTGAACATGCCAGGCAGGCTCTCCACCACTGAGCCTTACCCTATCCCTGACCAAACACTGCATATGCATTTTACCTCATGGCTACCACAATTATATAAAGGATATTCTTAGTCTGCTTTACACGTGAAGAAACAGACTCAGAGAAACTAAACATCTGTGGTCATGTGACTGATACGTGGTTTAGCCATATCTTCTCCACAAAAACCTTATAAAGTGCTTGCCATAAAAGCGTGAGGATTAATTACAGTTTAAGATCCCCAGATGTGTATAAATGCCTGGTGGGATGGCAGCTTACCTATAATTCTAGTGCTCAGAAGGCAGAGATGTGGCCCCCACAGCAGGCTGGCTCGACTAGCCACATCGGTGAGATCTGAGTTCAACTGGGAGACCGTGCCTCAGTGGATAAGATGGAGAGTAATGAAGAAGACTGTCAACATTAACTTCTGTTCTACACATGCACACATACTTGTGAACCTGAATACATACAGATATCCCACACACATACACCTGCAAAAATAAATAAATATTAAATTAAATTTTAAAAATGTAGCCCTCAGCTCTCAATCTAGACCACTCTAGAAAGAACAAGGGAAAAAAGAGAGATTGTCACAGTCTCTCAGCGTTTCCCAGCAAAAGTACTGCAGCCCTGACTCTAACATCTGTCCTTCCTCATTCATAAGGGTGGAGCTGGGGAGCACTGGAGGGCCCTTCCTTCTTGACAGGGCTGCTCTGTAAGAAAGAGAAAGAGGAGGCCAAGGTGGGACCACCATGGAGGCAGTGATGATGGAGGGCAGGGGGAGGGTGTTGCTGAGGGGAGCCCTATCCCCTGGCAGGACAGTGTGCCAGGAGCTGGGATTGTGTCAGGATGTCATCATGGGTGGGGAATCTCTAACGCTCATCTGTCTATTTGTGTTCCTTCCCTGGCAGTCCCCTGTGGTGGGAACATCTCTTCTTTCAATGGCACTGTGTACTCCCCTGGGTACCCCAGTCCCTACTCCAGCTTGCAGGACTGTGTCTGGCTGATCACTGTGCCCATTGGCCATGGTGTCCACCTCAACCTTAGCCTGCTGCAGATGGAGCCCATCGGAGACTACATCACTGTCTGGTAGGGTCAGGTGCCACGTCAGTAGCCAATCAGAAAGGGGCTTTCATGATGACTTTATGAAGGGAGGTCAGTGGTCCCCAACCTGGAGGCTTTCCACAGAAGTGAAAGTACTGGTGGGTGTACGCTTGGGGAGTGGCATGAATACACAGGCTTTCCTTGGTAATTCCTAGATTCACACCTGCAGTCTATGTCTAACCACGATGCCCAGACTAATGGAAGAGGCTTGGCCTGGAATTATGTGACGTTCCCTCTGATCAACTTGTGCTGAGCCAGAATTGCCCAACAGAACTCTCTGTATGGATGGTGACTTTCTATGCCTATTGCCATCCAACATGGCAGCCACCAGACTGGTTTTTAAATCTTATTTAATTTTAATGAACTTACATGTAAGTAGCCACATACATAGTTAATGGTTACTTAACTGGGCAGCTGACCACTGAGGTATAGAGTGCAGACTGTGACCTGAGTGGACTTTAAAATGGAAATGCAAATTCTTAGTGGATAAGGACAATTTCCTAGATAGTTTTTTTTGTGTGTGTCCCAAACTGCTGAATCTATGGACAAAGTCATACTGCAGGGTTTTTAATTCCTGTTTGGGAATTAGTGTCATTCTAAGAATCATCAGGGGATAGTAGGATGTTTCTTCCCCACTTCAGAATCCCAAGGGCTGATGACTATAGTTAGTCTGCCCCAGGTTCACTTTCAAGCAATGGATAAGAACAGAAAAGAGGGACTTGATCAGGTTCTAGGAAAGAAATCCCTCGCCCAGAAAGACAACGTGGGTGTGTCTTTGCTTGAGTGACAAGGCCATGGGACTGGCATGGATAGCAGCAAGAGAGTCCTGCCTCAGGTCCTTTGCCTCAGACCAAGAGAGCCTGAGTTGAGACCAACAGCCTTGTCTCGTGACACCTGTGCTGCTCCAGGTGCCTCCTAGGAGGCTGGACTAGTAAAGAATCAAGTAAATAAGGATTCTATCACCTCTGTTGGGAGACCTTGAAAGAAGGGATGGAGACAAGCATCTAGAATCTTGGGGAAACAGTGTTGGAGCCAAGAGCCATAGCGACCCACTCCAGGTCTCTCTCAGAGCCACTGATGGCTCCAGTGGCAGTACACACGCAAAGGGACTAGTGACATGCCAGGCAATTGTTTCCTATGTGTAGGGACGGACCACAGCAGACATCTCTCCAGCTCGGCGTCTTCACTAGGAGCCTGGCCAAGAAAATAGCATACAGCTCTTCCAACCAGGTCCTGCTCAAGTTCCACCGGGACACGGCGACGGGTGGGATCTTCACCATTGCCTTCTCGGGTCAGTAGGGAAGCTTGGCTGGGTGGGGAGCACGAGCTCTCAGATCACTGCTGTATTGACTAGTTGTGTGAGTGAATGAGTCGTGTGGCCTCTGTGAGCTGCAGTGTCCCCAGCCCAGGGCTCTGTTGGTGCAACCCACCCTCTTCAGGAGATGGGGGCACAGAGGCACATTACTGGCCCCAAGTCCAAGCCACTTATTCACACCAACTCACAGCAGACCTATCTATGTCCCCATTCCCCCACTTACTCGTTCACGTCTTCTAGAAGGCAGTCCGCCTCCACAGCGCTCCAGAGACTCTGTTGGGGTCAAAGGCAGTTCTGTGTTTGGGGGCACAAGGGCAGGTGTCACAGTTTCAACCTTGGATGAGCATGAATAGTTCATCTGGGGCTGCCCTCACCAGCAGCCTGTTTTCCTCTACGAGTCTAGAGTTCATTAGGGACCTGGATGTTTCTTACTTATGATAGCAGACATTGCGTAGAAGATTCTTAATAGTGATGGGTGTATGCCTCTCTGTGGAATGACAGCCATGTTTCTAGTTTCTAAAGCAGTGTACATATTTGAACTGGAAATGAGGAACGCTACAGTCTGTTCCTAGCTTTACCCCAGGGCAGTTTGTGGGACCCTGTGGGACTTTTTCCTGCTGTAGACATCCATCTCATCATCTGTGCAATGAAGGGCTTGAGGTTGGGTGTAAAGACTTCCATAAGGTAAAAGGTGGATTATTATTACCCCCATTTTACAAATGTGGAAAGTACTCAGGGGCAGGCAGATCTCTGTGATGAGTTTGAGGCCAGCCTAATCTACATAGTGAGTGAGTTCTCGGCGAGCTGGGGCTACAGGAAGACCCTGTCTCTAAAAGACCAAACTCTCTGGCTGGATGGCCTTTCTGCTTCTCTTCCCTTCCAGGATGCTCTTGACATTTTAAAAAAAAAAAAAAAAAAAAAAAAAAAAAAAAAACCTCAAAAATCAAACAAACAAAAAATGTGGGAAGTAAAGTGGGAAAGCTTTAGAAGGTTTCTAGAATGTGCAGGCAGAAGGGGGGCAGCACCCAGGCAGTCCAGTTCTGCAGTGTCTGTGCAGTATGAGGCATCACGTACATGTTTACAGAAAAACTGGAGCATGCTCAGCCCGAGCCTGTGGAAAAGGTAGCCATGGAGAAACAGAGGCCCAGACAAACAATCACGTGAAGACCACAGGCAACCTGGGCCTGGTAGTACACACTGTAATCCCAGCTCCTGGAGGCTGAGGCAGGAAGATCTCAAGTTCAAGGCCAGGCTGCACTGCAGAGTGAGGTCAAGGTTAACCTGGGTGATTCTAGTGAGATGCTGAAAAGTGAAAAGTGAACAATACTAGGAAGCTCTTGCCCAGCATGCACAAAGCCCTGAGTTAGAGGCCCAGCACCACAAAAGTAGTGAGAGACAGGGGCAAGGAGATGGCTTGGTGGGTAGAAAAGCACTTGCCACAGAAGCCTGGTAACCCGAGTTTGATCCCTGGAACCCATGTCAACAGCCAGATGCAGTGGCCTGCATTAATTGGAGCACTCCCATGGGAAATAGGATGCAGAGGCAGAATAGCCCAGGAGCTTGAGGCCAGTTAGCCTGGTGGATGCAGTAGCAAAACGAGACCCTGACTCAGAAACAAGGGGGAAAGGTGAGGAGCATCCAGAGGTTGTCCTCTGACCTCCGCACATGCACTACAGCACACACAGACAACACACACACAGACACACACACTCACCCACGTGTGCACAGGCAGCTCTGGCTGCCACTCCCAGGAACTGTTGCTCAGGGTGAGTGTGACCCAGAGAGGAGACTCTGCCCTTGTCAGCTGGCCTCAGTGCCACCCCCAGTGCCTGTCCTGTTGATGCTTGAACAGGGGGACCCAGGCTTTGAACTTCAACTCTGGCTTTCCCCTAGAGCCATAGCACGTACATACCAGAAGCAGAGCCTGGGCTTCAGATCTGCCCAGTGTAACCATGTGACCTGGTGTCGCTTTTCTTCTCTCTGGGATTTCACGATGTCTGGTTTCATTATCTACAAAGGAGGAATAATCACAGCACCTAACTGCAGAGGGCTGAATAAAATGATGTGTGGAAATGCTTGGCTCCTAGAGGAGGATAAAGCGGCCAGTAAATGGCAACTACACCATCATGGTAGAGCTGATGGCCACAGGTGTCACCAAGGTGCTGGGCCAGCTCTGTGGTTCTTGTTTCCAAGCACCTACCTGTCCCAGAGTCAGGCAGAGGAGGCTCAGCACAGTCCAGACTGGCTTCATTCCCAAGTTCTCCTAACTCCCCCATGAATATGCTTCCTTCAGAGTGCGTTGCATGCCCTTTCATCTCTAAAAGAAGACTTGAGACCCACTGCCGTTACAAGGCTTAAAAACCCATGTATTGAGGGACTGGAGAGATGACTCAGCGGTTAAGAGCGCCAACTGCTCTGAGGTCCTGGGTTCAGTTCCTAGCACCCACACGGCGGCTAACAACCATCTGTAGCTCCAGTTACAGGGGATACGGTGCTCTCTTCTAGCCTGTGCAGGCATTGGAAAAGACAGGTACACTTATATACGTGCAGGCAAGGCACTCACACATGTAAAATAAAAATAATAAAAATTAATAGAAAATATTAAGGTACTGGATTCTTTAAGAAGTGACTGGATCCCAAGGCAGATCCTTTACGAATAGGACTGGTGCCCCCCCCACCCACACACAATAGGAGAACCCTAAGAGAGCTCATTTGTCCCTTCCACCGTGTTATGACACAATGAAAAGGCCCAAACCTGACAGGGACGCTCAGCATCACCAAATTTGCCAACACTTCAACCTTGGACTTCCCAGCCTTCAGAACTGAAAGAAGTAAATTTCTGTGGTTTATAAGCTACCCAGCTTGTGGTTATTTGTTACAGCAGCCAGAATAGACTAAGACAGCCCTTAAGTGCAGCTCAGACCATAGGCCAAGCCTGTCTGACCAGAGGAGCAGGCTAGAGCCTGGGGCCAGGAAGTAGTTATTTCTGTGCCTAGACCAGCATGCTCAAGTGGAAGAAGCACTGGGTGGGCTGAGAGAGCAGTGAGGCCCATCCCATGCCTCAGGGAGCTTTAGACATGTTGTGGAATATATCATATATATACATAGTGTATGGAACATGTATGTACAGCTTAAACAATAATAGAGTGGTCACCATGACTGAGCCTTCCTTAGCACCTTCTCCTCCCCTTCCCCTGGATATAACTGTGAATTTTTTCTAGATCATTCCCTGCTTTTCCTTGTAATGTTACTGGCATAGTTCTAAAAAAAAATATATTGCATGTGATTTCCATTTTCTAAGTGGAAATCATTTACACATCTGTTTGATGCTGCTATAGTCAAATACCTCAGGCTGGGTAATGCATAAAGAAAAGAATTTTTAGCTCACAATTTAGTAGGGTGAAAGTCCAAGATTGAACAGTCCCATTGACTGGAGGGCCACCTGGAGGTGGACTGTCTGGAAGAGATCACATTACAAACAGGAAGCCAGAGGGATTTAGGGGCATGGATGAGAGGAACTAAGTGTGGTCCAGCAGGAACTACCTTTAATCCCTTCCAAGGGTAGCTGTGACCTAATGACCTACTACCAGGCTCTACTTCTTAAAAGATTTCTATCACCCAGCACCATCACCATACAGATAATCAAACTTCCAGCACACAAACCTTTGGGGATTAAACATTATCCAAGTCATAGGAATTATTCCTTTGGTACTTGATTTTTGCTTTTGTTTTTTCTTCTTAAAAAATTAGTTTTTAAAATTCAGGCTAATACAAGTGACTAAGTTCATTTTTTCCATGTTCCAGTGTATAAAACACCGTAGTTTGCCCAGCCTGTTGTTAACGAGCATTGGGGTTTTTTTTTAGAAGAAGCATTTCATTACAGCTTTAACATACTCAATAATGAGCATTGGTTTTATTTCAAACAGTATGAACATTGTAAAGTCCTCATTCTAAGCATATACAAGAGTTTAGCCCACCAGCATAGGAATATTGTAAGGGCGCACGTACTCCAGGTTACTAAGGATTACAATTTTATCTTACAAAGTGATTATAAAAGCAAATATGCTTTTCCCAGCAACAAAGGAAGCGCCCTCCTTGCTCTCGTCCTTGCAGGCTCAGTCTTATCAAATTTCCCATCTTTACCAATCTGGTGGTTTCATGAAGCGGCGTTTCACTTTGATGTTCCTGATGAGCTTTTCTTTCACATCGCCACTGACTAGTCATGCTCCCTACTCTGTAATCTACCGACTCCCCAAGGAGAGAGATGGGGCACATGGACCAACAGATCCTCTGCTGTTAACAGTACGGGCTGGAAAGGAAGCAAGAAAGAGGGAAAGGAGCAGACAGGGTGGAGGGGAAGCCTGCGTCCTCTGGAGTCGCTGTGGAAAGGCAGCTGAAGAAGTGTTAGTGGAGGTGGGGACTGAAGAAAACAGTGGGGAGGGGAAGGGGCTGAGGGAAAGGGTTCGCCTCCCTTTAGCCAAGCACCAGCCCTGAGTAACTCTCTTTTCACATAAGCCTCAATAATGGAAAAAGAAGACACCTGAGGGAGACTTCGGGGAAGATCCTGTGACATTTTTTTAAAAAGGAGAAAATAGGATTTGAATCACAGAGGAAAATGTCCCCAAAACAGTGAGGAGAGTAGGAAATGGTAGCAGAGATTTTAGAAAGCAGTCCAAAGGAAAGGTGAGACATGGTGACAGTGGGCAGCTCACAGCTCTTCTCTCCCTTCATGAACAGTCCAACCCTAAAGCTGGTAGGGGACCAGGCATCCACATCTGTCATAATGAAGAGGCACAGGGAACACTGGGACTTCAGCCAGAGTGACAGAAGGATGACCACACTGAGGGGCTGCCTGGCAAGGGCAGTGGCACTCTGAGTGATGGATGAGGGGATGTCTGTTCAGGGAGGGAACTGGGGGAAAGGAGCAGATGCCTCGGTAGGGTGCTGAGTGAGGAGGGCATCCTCCCTTCCCAGAG